CAGTGTATATAAAAGCGGAATACCACTCACACATCATCACAAAATCTCCACAACCGTAAAGCCTACAAACTTGAAATTTGGCACGTATGTTCCTCTTGGCTTCTAAGTGCTCGCCAAGAAAGGATTTTTCAAAATGACCATCAGACCATGACTATTTCGTATATTATTATTAACATGCTCCGATGCTAAGGAGTTCTACTCCCGCTTCCCACCTGAAAAGAAATCTGTTCCAAATGCAAAACACAAGCAGAGGAGTTTCAGTTTTAGTTTCACAGCAGCAACCAGCTTTAGTACAGAACAGTTGACTAAGTCCACACCCAGGCTCCTTGCTGTCTCCTACTTGCTCACAGCAAATACTGTTTCAGTTTCCAAACAGACCTCAACTCTCTCACACACTGACAAGATGCTAGCCAGATGAATACCGATGGATGCTGGTAGGCAGAAGCAGAATTTTTTCCCCTTATTTTCCTCCCCAAAAACTAAGCCTGACCACATAGTTTTGTAGTGAAGCACAGGTATCAAGCTACTTTGTACATAAGAGTTACCGTATTTGCCGGCGTATAAGACGACTTTTTTGCCCCGAAAAACATGCCTCCAAGTGGGGGGGTCGTCTTATACGCCGGTATATCCACTGCCGGCTTTCGGATGCTTGTTGGACGCAGCGAAGGCGCCTCTGGCTTCCTGGATCCCCTGCGTCGCTTCCGCTTCATCCCGCTCGCCTCGCTCCGCCCGAGGCTGCAGCCTTACTGCTCTTCCCACGGCCCCTGGCACTCTGCCCTGCCGCTGCAGCCCCAGGGATTTCTGGAGGGCGTTTCCGGTGGTGGTGGGGGGTCGTCTTATACGCCGGGTCGTCTTATACGCCGGCAAATACGGTAGCTTGTCCTTGAATCTCTGCTTCTGTGATTATGACTTCTGGATTCTGAGTTCTGGTTCTGACTCCTACTGCATGGGTATTGTACTCATGCATCATACTGTATATTATTGTATGTAAACAAGTTTCTTCTATAAATGAATCCTGCTGAATTATTAACTTGTGTGCTGGTTGGATTGCTGCAAACTCTGACAGCCCCTTCCTCTTCCAAGATTTCTGTTTATCTATATACAATATTTTCTCTTCAATCATGTTCAATATTTTCTCTTCAATCATGTTGATTCTCAGAAACTACATGAAGAAATCTCTGGACTTTTCTTGGGAAGGTTTTTCAGAAGCGGTTTCCCATTGCCTCTTTCCTAGGTTGAGATGAAAGACTGGCTCAAGGTCACCCCAGCTGGTTTCATATATAAAGCGGAACTCAAACTCAGGACCTTGCGAATTCAGGTTGATACCTTCACCTCTACACCAAACTGGCTCTCATCCCTTTTTTTTACTTCCATGCAATACTAATTAATGGATCAGAAAAGTAAGATTCTTCCAAGCTACCTGACTACACAAGTGTCTATTTTGCTAAAGTAAAGGATTATTTCCCAGTTATGTTTTTTAACTTTGCCAAAGAACAGAGCAATAAAGAAATAATCAAAGTCAGAGGCAAATTGGATCACCTTGAGGATTTGGTGGACAGTGGATTCGTGAGTGGGATATTAATACATCTCCAGCCTAGAAGAATGTTATTTGTGGTTGATTCAGAAAGCACAATAAATCAAATGACACATTTAAGTCGATTAGTCTCAAGTTTCTTGCTTTGAAAAAAAAATCCACACAGAATAAACAAAAATATGCCTAATGCTTTGGGGCACTTCTTTCGACAAAAATGAATAAAAATCAATCAACAGGAGTACAAAACATTCTATAGGAAGAGATTTGCATCTCCTGAAATGGATTAAACTTCATTCCAGATTGTTCATTTGTGATACACGTTGTCCGGTAGAATTTACTGGATTTTTTTTAATAGCATTCTCTCAGAAGAAATTCCCTCTTATCTTTAATTATAGTTAAATACCACCTGAGTAACCATATTACCAATGCAAATGCTCTGCATGATTCCTTCTTGGTCAGGATTAGCAAAACAAAAGTGGTTTGCATTCAATGTAAACCAAATAGCGCCAACAGCACTTAGACTTGTGCTGTTTACAGCCCTCGCTAAATGGTTTACAGAGTCTGCCTATTGCCCCCACCCACCCAACGATCGGGGTCCTCATTTTACCCACCTCAGAAGGATAGGAGGCTGAATCAACCTTGAGCCTGGTGGGATGTGAACTGCCAAACTCGAGGCGGCCAGCAGTCAGCAGAAGTAGCCTGCAGTGCTGCACTCTAACCACTGCACCACTATGGCTCAGTACAGATAGTCCTCAATTTACGACCACAATTTCTATTGCTAAGATAGGTGGTTGTTAAATGAGTCATACTCAATTTTACAACCTTTCTTGTCACAGTTGTTAAGCAAATCATTCTAATTGTTAAGTGATTCACATGGTCATTAAGCGAATCTGGCTTCTCCCATCGTCAGAAGCCATCTGGGAAGGTCGCAAACGGCAATCACAGGACCTCTGAGATGCCACAACCATTGCAAATACATGTTGCAAATTCTGATCGTGTGACCGTGGGAATGCTGCAAAGACCGGGCATAAGTTACTTTTTTCAGCACTGTTTTAACTTCACTAAATGAATAGTTGTAAGTCGAGGACTATCTAAATTGGTGTCCTCTTTGCCTTCAGAAGTGATTACCATAAGATTTGGTAACTGCCTTGGATGGTTTCAGAAGAGGACTGGGGGAATTTCTGAAGTGATTGAGCTACATGTAGCCCTCGACCACACAAGGGCCCCCAGTTCCCGTTGCTAAGTGAAACAGTTGTTAAGTAAATTTTGCTCCATTTTACGACCTTTCCTGCTACAAAAATTGTTAAGCGAATCACTGCAGTTGTTAAGTTAATAACATGGTTAAGGGAATCTGGCTTTTCCATCGACTGTGCTTGTCAAAAGGTCTCAAAAAGTTATCACGTGACCCCAGGTTACTCCAACCGTCACAAGTACGAGTCAGTTTCCAAGGGTCTGAATTTTGATCACATGACCATGGGAATGCTGCAACGGTCGTAAGTGTGAAAAACAGTCATAAATGACTTTTTTCAGTGTCACTGTAACTTCGAATGGTCACTATACGAACTGTTGTTAAGTGGAGGGCTACTTGTACAGTAGAACCTCCGGTCACAACCGTAATCTGTTTCATGACTTCGGTCACAACGCGATTTGGTTGTGACTGGAAGCGAGTCTGACTGCGCATGCACATAAAAAGAAAAATACCGCAGAAGGGGAAATTGGTGTGGAAGGGCAAATCGCCGCGGCTGTATTTGATTGCCACCTGAGTATTTGTTCACGACCAGATGCAAACATTTTCCAAAATTTTTATTCGTCACCCAATTTGGTCATGGTCAGAAGCATTCGTGACCAGAGGCTCTACTTTACTAGTCTGATTGTTACTTCTGGTTTGAAGATATTTATTTATTTTATTTATGTGATTTGTCAATTGCTTACAAGATGATAGGTATAAGAATAAATATGAGTAAGAATACAGGAAATAGTTACCAATAAATGGGGACAATAGGACAGGGACGGTAGCCACGATTGTGCACTTATACATGCCTCTTACAGACCTCTTAGGAATGGGGTGAGGTCAATAGTGGATAGTTTAAGGTTAAAGGAGTGGGGGGTTGGAGGATGTAACAACAGGGTCAGGTAGTGCATTCCAGGCATTGACCATTCTGTTGCTGAAGTCGTACTTTCTGCAATCAAGTTTGGAGCAGTTTACATTGAGTTTGTATCTGTTGTGTGCTCTTGTCTTGTTGCGGTTGAAGCTGAAGTAGTCATTGACTGATAGGACATTGCAGCAGATATTTTTGTGTACTACACTTAAGTCCAACCATAGGCAACGTAGTTCTAGGTTGTTCAAACCCAAAATCTCAAGCCTGGTGGGTGTAGGGTATTCTGTTGCGAGCATGCCTCTAAATATTAGTTGCAGACAAAGAGTAGCAAAAGTGTTAAATGCTTCCATCTTCTGGTTGTGAGCAGAGACATCTGCTGGGTACAAATGCTGGATTAGGATGGAGCAATTTAGCAGGCCTAGTCGAATGTTCTTCTGATCTTACACAGTAAAAAAAGAAACTGAATTCGGGAAAAATTGGACACCGTTTAGAGTCCAGCTGTGTTAAGACACTTCCAAGAAAAAAAGGGCAACAACACCAAAAAGGAACAAAGCAATAAATACATCTTCTTGGAAGAACCACAACGTTTTTGCAGCCTGACACGCTTTCTACAAAGCCAGCCAGTTGCTGGCAGCTTCAGAGAAAAAAAGCTTAGCCAGAAGTCTCCAAAGACACACTTTGGATTCAGAGCCAAGGATCCAAACCACAAAGAAGGAAGTGGTTTTAACAGGGGGGGAAATTAATCTGATCAACATGTATATTAATTAAAATTAAATGAGGTTAATATTCATCCATTTAAACCCTTTGACCTACTTAAATAAATAGAATACAACAGTCCTCTATTTACAAAAGTTAGCTTAGTGACCATTCAAAGTTACAACACCACTGGAAAAAAGTGACTTCTGATTATTTTTCACCCTTATGAAAGTTGCAGCATCCCCATGGTCATGTGATTTACCTTTGGATGCCTGATAACTGACTCACATTTATGGCAGTGTCCCAGGGTCATGTAATCCCCTCTTGCAACCTTCTGACAAGCAAAGTCAGCGAGGAAAACAGATTCACTTTAACAACCATGTGACTAATTTAACAGCCGCAATGACTCACTTAACAAATGTGGCAGGAACAGTTGTAAAATGGGGCAAAACTCACCTAACGAATTTCTCACTTTAGCAAAATGAATTTTGGGCTCAATTGTGGACCTAGGTTGAGGACTACCTGTATAAAGAGACCTAGTTTATCTTTCAAGGACCCTCAACGTTTTTGAGTGGCCTCTGTTCACCAAAGGAGAAGACATCCCACCCTGTCTATTCTCTCCCACAACTCAGCGTCCGGTTAGAAAAAGAGTACAAGTCCATGACACTTACCATCACTATAATCTATGGGAGCATAGGCCCCTAAGAAAAGAGAAGCTGCAAAGTTGCTGACCAAGGATATTTTCTGGAGGCAGAAAAAAGAAAAAGAAGTACATGACCATCCAAACAAGCAAATAATCATACGACATGTATTTCTGTTTCACAGACAATTTAAAACAGAATGCTTTGAAACTGCCATTGAGTTCAGCAAGCATTTAAAATATGGCATTCAGAAAAAAGATCTGAGAGGGATTAATTATTATAAGATCTTGTTTTGATTTTTTTTTTTTTGAGAGTTGCAAAAGACTAAGCTATCATAAACCTTCCTTTCTTCCTTCTTCTTTCCTTCCTTCCTTTCTCTTCCTCTCTCCCTCCCCCCCCCCCCCCCCTCTCTCTCTCTCCCTTACACGCACAAACCCATGGATTTTCAAAAAACTAAAAACAAAATATTTAAAAGAGGTAATAAAGGCTGGATAAAGATCAAGTAAATGAATAAATAACAATTAACTTGTCTTCTGAACATCATTTTATACTTGGAGGAAAGAAATTGGAGTCTAGCTATATTCATGGCATCTGTCATAAAAAGGATGAAGAAGTAAGAAGGCCAGAAAAATAGCTTGTTAGTTGAAGTCGTCCAATAACAGGTGCAATTAGAGTCTTATGCTACAACTGGGTCCCCAAACTGTGCTAAGCCATGCAGTAAACCCTGATTTATTCCCCTACTTATAGGTAGCATTCTCAGAATCCAAATATTGTGTTCAAAGGAAATCATCTCAGTCACTTGCTGAGATAGGCAGCATACTGTGATGGATTATTAATAATAGTAATGGCTGTAACACTTAGACTTATATGCCACTTCATAGTGCTTTACACCCCTCTCTAAACAGTTTACAGTCAGCATCTGGCAAGATCTGTCTATCTATCTATCTATCTATCTATCTATCTATCTATCTATCTATCTATCATCTATCTATCTATCTATCTATCTATCTATCTATCTATCTTATTTATCTATCTATCATCTATTTATTGAGTACCCAATTTATTGAGTACCCATCTTACCCCAAGATAACTCTGGGTAGTTTACAATATTAAAAAATAAAGTCTTACAAATATACAGTAGGAACTAAGTAATAAAAAGATAAATACACAACCCTAATTAAAAGAGGAGGAGGGAAGGAATAGGATGAGAAAGTGGGAGATGGTATCTGTTATTAGTTTGTCAACTTTCCCCAACGTGAAGAGCCCTCACTGGAGCTCCAAGCCAACTAGTAGAGCCAATCTTTAAGCTCTTGAGGAAGGTCAGGGAGGTTGGAGATTCTGCCTATAGCTGTGGAAACAATAAAGAACTCGACTCAGAAGAATCATCACGTTAATCTTGGCTTTGGGGGCTGCGCTCTGTTCTCTGCATCTACCATGTACTCTAAGGCACTAGGCACTTTTTGGCCCTAGGGACTGGTTTCGTGAAAGTCAATTTTTCCACGGACGAGGGGAGGGGAGGGGACACAACCTTGATCCCTCACATGCGCAGTAGGGTTTGCGCTTCTTTGAGAGTCTAAAGCCAGGTGAAGTGGAGCTGAGGTAGTGATGCTAGCTCTGGAGAGTGGCTGATAATTCATATATAGCATCGCTCGCTCGCCCGCCCCTCACCTCCAGCTGTGCGGTGCAGTTTATAACAAGCCATGGACCGGTACTGGTCAGTGGCCTGAGTGTTAGAGACCCTGGCTTTAAGGATTATTAGAGAGAGGCTTTCTTCACCCCCTTACTCTAACACAGGGGTGTCAAACTCAAGGCCCGGGAGCTGGAGCCGCCCCGCAGGATTCTTAGATCTGGCCTGCGGGGCTGCCCTGAAAACAGCAAAGGATTGGCTCGTGATGCTTCGGCCGGTGAAAACGGCCCCCGAGCTCTGTTTTCAGCTGCCACGGCCTCCTGCAACCCTCTGCCAGTAAAAATGGAGCTCGGGAGGGCTGCCTGAGCTCTGTTTTCACGGGCAGAGGGTTGCAGTAGGTTGTGGTAGCCGAAAATGGAGCTCAGGAGCCTGTTTTCGCTGGTAGAGCATTCAGGCTACCACAGGCACCCCTGACAGGAGGGACGTCAAGCTGGCCACACCCACCGAGGTCAAACACAACCCTGATGTGGCCCCCAATGAAATTGAGTTGGACATCCCTGCTCTAACACAAACTATCTGGACCTTAATATCATTCTGGAATGCGCCTTCAGCCTACTACATTCCATCACACGTGCAAATTTAATAAATTAAATAATACATAAATAAAATCACACAAGCTCAGCTCTTGGACACCAACATGCAATATCATGACTGGGGTGGCATTTAGATCATTTTGTGATTTGCCCCATCCCCTTTCCCTCCGTGAACACCCTGCACACACACACACACACACACACACACACACACACACACACACACACTCAGACCTCATGTATTTTGATAGTCGCTCTTGATCAAAAGCTAATGCAGAAAAGGAAGGAACTTTCTTTCGTGTCTGCAATGCATTTTGGAATGGCATTATAAGAGACAACTTTTTTTTTCTTTAAATGGGAGGGGGTGATAAATTCATCAGTTAATAACCCCCATCTCTAATTTCACCCACTTTCTATAGGAGAAGGGATCATATCTAGAATTGCATTTCTGGCATAAGGGTATGCTCCGTTAACAAAATAGCTAATATTAAGCATTCAGAATTAATGTGATGCAGCATCAGCAGCCCTTTTACTGAACCTCCTTTCACAGATCTCTTTTCTGTTTAATGAGGGGCTTTTGTTACCATATTTATGCTAATGTAATTTGTACAAGCATTGCGATAAGTTCGCCTTTGCAAACCATAATAAAACCTAAATTAGTTATGATTCCCAATAAACGAGCAGAAGATTAGCAAACCTCGGTTTGTGAATAGACTTCAGGATCCTGGCTGTAAATCTTCGCTATCTGGTTTCCTGTAAAACGCTGAGAAAGGACAGGCCACCAATATTTAGGAACACAAATTGTAAATGGAGTCAATAATAATTAACTCACCATAATGAGTTCACGGCATTGCACCCTGGATGTTTTCATTTATTAAAGGCATAACAGCAGTTGCTATTCAGAGGCAACAGGCATAAAACAGATGATAATGCATTGACAGGGGAATGTTTAACTCACCTGGAGTTTAAAAAAGTAACTGAAAAATAGGGTTCCCCATAATATGTATTTCAGAAAATAATAAATCATGGGAAGTAACCTTTCTGGACACTTAGGCAAGATTTCAAAAATTTCCAGGAATGATTCATTCATATCAGAGGTGGAATGTGCAACACAAATGTGTTCATACCTGGAATAGTATGTGCAAATTATTTTGGGAGAAGGGAGGAAGAGCTGTGGCCTAGACCCGTGATGGCAAATCTATGACACGCGTGCCAGAGGTGACACACAGAGCCCTCTCTGTGGGCACGTGAGCCGTTGCCCCAGCTCAGCTCCGCTGTGCATGCGTGTGCACCTCGCACCGGCCAGCTGGTCTCTGGGTCCCTGGCCCCTGGGTGGAGTGCATGTGCAGGGGATGCACGGGGATTACATTTTGGGGATGCGCAACATGCATCTTTGGGCACTCAGTGCCGAAAAGGTTAGCCATCAGGGGCTTAGACAATGTCTATTAAATGACATTTTAGTCCTGGGGTGGCGATGGGATCTCAGAAGGTATCCTCCATAGTTTTCAGGAGCATAAAAATAGGGGGAAGGAGATACTTTCAGACTTGCAAGATTCTGTTACTGTAATCTTATTATAAAAATAATGTTAGTGCTCATGGTTGGTACTTCTTATCTGGACTACCTCAAAAGGCTGATGTCAAATCTTGCAAGTCTCCTTTGGGATGTTTTCTCCACCACCACCATCCCTGGTTCAAACTCAGATGTTGATTATCAGACTGTTGTCTGGGGCTAGGCTGTGTCTTCACCTCCTGCTGTCTCTCAAGGTCAAAAGTCTCCAAACTTGGCCACTTAAAAGACCTGAGGATCTCTGGGAGTTGAAGTTCACAAATCTTGACGTGGCCAAGTTTCGAGATCCCTGCCCAAGGTCATTCTCATATATACCACTACAAAATTGAGACCTCGGGCCATACAACACCCTCAACCAGTTGAATTTCAGCCGGACACTTTGAAAGGCTCGGATGGAAACTGTGGGAAATAGAAATGGTTTGTGTCCCAGATTCCTCCCATTCTCATCCCCACCCTAATCGTAAACAATTCAATCCTGCCCTCTTCCGCTTTCCTTATCCATCAGTTTGTTTCACAGGAAGGTTTAAAGGCCAGGATGAAGAGCCGGATCCCCCATAAGTCACTTCTTCCCTATTCTAGAGAGTTGAGTCGTGTTGTTCAACTTTGGGGACTTTTAAGACCTATGGACTTCAACTCCCAGAATGGCTTGGAACTTCCACGCAGACTGCAAAATTCTGGGAGTTGATGTCCACACCAACTTAAAGTGCCCTAGGTTGAGAAACAATTCGAGTGTTGGACCAGAACTAGACTCAAGTGTACTCTCACACGATGGCTTTAATCAGTTTCCATCTCTGAGCCTGAGCCAAATCAGCAAGAGAAGGATGAGGACAAAGCTAAATCAATCCACAACAGCTATACAATCCCTCAAGGAGATTGGTTGCTTCCATAACTAGATTTTTAAGTCTGAAATTTCTACTCTACTTTCTTTCTACGGTGTCTCCAAATAATCTTTTTGTCTGCGGAGTTTCAATCCCAGTTATTGTGGAATTGAAGGATCCACTTAAAATCTAGCTACAGTATTACTCAGATTTAACAGATAACAGAGAATCAGAGTTGGAAGGGACCTTGTAGGTCATCTAGTCCAACCCCTTGCCCAGGCAGGAGACCCTGCACCATTTCTGACAGATGGGAGTCCAATCTCTTCTTGAAAGTCTCAAGTGATGGCACTCCCACAACTTCCAAGGGCAACTTCTGTTCCATTGGTTGATTGTTCTCACTGTCAGAAAGTTTCTCCTTATTTCCAGGTTGAACCTCTCCTTGATCAGCTTCCATCCGTTATTCCTTGTCTGGCCTTTGGATGCCTTGGAGAATAGTTTGACCCCCCTCCTCTCTGGGGCAGCCCCTCAAATATTGGAAGACGGCTATCATGTCTCCGCTGGTCCTTCTCTTCACTAGACTAGCCAGGCCCAGTTCCTGTAACCATTCTTCATATGTTTCAGCCTCCAGTCCCCTAATCATCCTGGTTAATTTGGAAGACATTGTAGATAATCTTTGACTTACAACCATAATACAGCCCGGCAATTGCAGTCAAAAGTCATGAGGGTGGTAAAGTGGGACTGAGCCAATCTAATGACATTTACAGCAGTCATTAAGCGAACATGGCAGTCGTAAAGCAAACGTGGTGGTCATACAGGGAATGCCATGGCCATTAAGCAAACCCATTGTTCTCTATAGGCATTTTCTGGTGGAAACCAGAAGTAAATGCCGGTTTTTGTAAAAAAAAAAAAAAACCTTCATAAATCACCGTCATGGGATGGTTGGGCCATGCAAAAGGCTGTAAATGCAGGCTAATTGCTGAGTGCCCAGAATGTGGTCACATGACTACGGGAGGAAGGGAATGAGGCAGCCGTCCAAACTTCAGAACTTGCTCATAAACACCTTTTGGAGGCTTTGTCGTAACTCTGAATGGTCCCTTCGTGACTTAAGTGCTAAGTCAATGCTTAGGACCAGTCCCTTCAAACATTTTTTTTTCCTACGAACCTGCCAGTGTAATTGCTTTCTTTAAAAAGCCCATACATTTTATTCCCACTTTTTCTCTTCCATTAATGAGAACATCAGCTACCTGCCCTATTAAAATCAAAGTTATATAACAAGAAGCTGCAGAACAAACGTTCGAGCTTCTAACAATTCTTTTGTTGTAAGAGAAAAGGGAAATCACTAAAAAGAATGGGAACTGCCGTATTTAAAAGATCTGTTTTCAGTTTTAATTGCATTGTCATATAAAGAAGAGGAAGCTTGGCTTCTAACCTGCTTCTCCCAGATTTGAGGGAGATGAATGCTCAAAGTAGTTTAGCATGGACCCCAGACAGAAAATATTTGTCTGACCTGATCTAGATTTTGATTGTTTCACAGAACTCAAAGCAGAACAGCCTTCTGCGCCCCGTTTTGTCCTCCCCACCAAAAAATGTACAGGTAGTCTTCAACTTAGGACCACAAGTGTGAGCAGAACTTCAATTGCTAAGTGATGCAGTTGTTAAGTGAATCATGTTCTATGTCACCATTATTATTGTCACGGTCATTAAACAAATCACAGAGTCCCTAAGCGAATCCATTGAGTGATTGTTGGGAACCCCAGTTGCAAATCCTTGCAGCTGTCATCAATAAATGCCAAGCATTGTTGATAATGTGACAGCGAGGACATTGTGATGGTTGTAAGTGTGAGGTCTGGTTGTAAGTCATTTTTTTCAGTGTAGTCATAACTGCGAACAGCTGTTAAATGGATGGTCATGTTGTGGTTCGCCGACAGCAGGTGTGGACGGTAGAAGTATCAGATGGTGAGGACGAAAGGGAACCAGCCAGGGAGTCTGCAGAGGACTCAGACGAGGGTCCTGCATCTGATGCAGGGATAGGGTCAGGACCATCCGGGAGTGGGGTGCTGCCTTCGGAGCTTTTGGAGTCTGGCAGCAGCGAAGCAGAGGACCCCAGGAAGCCTGTTCCCAGTGTGCATGTGCACAGAGCTGCTAGAAGGCAAGAGCAGCTGAAGCAGAAGGGATGACTCAGGAGTAAGGCTGGGAGGAGATTGCCCTTCCCATAAGGGATAAAAGTCAGACCTCAATGACGAATCCTTTGCAGGAAGCAAAGTAGTTCAGTAATCACCGAGTCCTTCATGAAGCTCTGTCCTCTGGTCGGTTTTGGCTGGGTATTTGGGTTGGTTATATGTTAGCCCTAATTGGACTTCTGTTTCTTGGCAGCCTTCGACAGCACTGAAAAGCATGCTCTTATCCGGAGGAACTATGTCTAATTAGTTTTGGCTGGGAATGCAAGTAATTCCCAGCATTGCATTAAAAAAAGGTTTCACTTTTAAATTCAGCTTGTGTTTTATTAAATTTGACAAAGCCTGGGTCAGAACAGGTCATTAAGTTGAGGACTACCTTTACTTTTTATGTCAGGGTTCCCCAAACTTTCTGGGTTGGGGACCGTGGGAACAACACTGGAACAACACTTATCATGGGGACAACACTGGAAAAGAAGCCTTAGACAATGTTCACATTAGACCTTCTTGGTCACCTTCTCTCTTGTCTTCTCCAACAGCTCTCACCTCATAAGCTCGGGATCCAGTGATGTCGGCTAATTTCTGAGCCCCTCCGGCCTTTTTTTCCAGAGACTTACACTGGGCAGCTGTGCTGGAATCCATCCAGACTGGGCTGTTGCTGAGAGAAAAGCAATTCTGTCGGAAGCAAAGAAGAGACCGCAGAACAGCCAATCAAGTCAGAGTTGCAAGTTGGTTTTTTAACACAATAAAGGTAGGGCTCAATTCACCGCCGCAATTGAGCCCAAGTTTTCTGTTGCTAAGCAAGACGGTTGTGAAGTGAGTTGTGCCCCATTTTACGGCCTTTTTTTTAACCACACTTGTTAAGCGAATCACTGTCATTAAGTGAATCACGCAGTTGTTAAGTGAATCTGGCTTCCCCGATTATCTTTGCTTAACGGAAGCTGAGTAGGAAGGTTAAATTTGATGACTTCATAGCCCTGGGACACTGCAACTGTTGTAAATACAGGCCAGTTGCCAAGCACCAAATTTTGATCGTGGGGATGCTACAATGGTCATAAGTGTGAAAACCAGTCATAAGTCACTTTTTTCAATGCCATTGAAACAGTCGAACACTCATTAAAAAAAAGATTGTAAGTCAAGGACTACAATCAAGTCAGGGTCAAAAATTGGTTTAGGACAGTAGCGCATCTTAGGAGCTTCTGTGACGCAGTGGTTAGAGTGCAGTATTGCAAGCTACTTCTGCAGCCAGCTGCCTACAATTTGGCAGTTCAAATCCCACCAGGCTCAAGGCTGACTCAGCCTTCCATCCGAGGTGGGTAAAATGAGGAGCCAAATCGTTGGAGGCAATAGGCTGACTCTGTAAACCTCTTAGAGAGGGCTGTAATGCACTGTAAAGTGGTATATAAATGCTATTGCTATTGCTATCTTACTTCTACACTGGTAAGAGTAACAACGATGCCAGGAAATATTTTAGCAAGAAAAAACAAGTCATTATTTTTAATGCACATTAGGCATTTTCCTCTACTTTGGGACATTCAAGTCACAGAAAAACTTACCAGAGGCTACACTTAAGCTGTGTAAGAAGCCATAGTATGCTCTTGATGTTGTTTTTAATTGTATTAAGCAACCCAGGTAGGATGCATTTTCTATGCAGGTAGTCCTCGAATTATGAGCACAACGGGGACCTATCCCGCTTTTTAAGCAAAATGAGATTTTTTCTTTTAAAAAAATCGAAGCAAGTCCAATTTAAAAGCATGCTCCAAAAGAGGTGAATTTTTTTTTTAAGCCAACGAAATCATAAACTCAGCAGGAAGAACATTTTAAAGAGATGCAGTGACCACGGGACAGATTAACTCTAAATCATTGCAAGCAAAGTTGGTAACTGTCCACAATCTTTCTCAAATTGTCCGCATACAAGAATCATTTCAATTCTAACATCCTGTTGAGATTTTGAGATTTTATTATTTATTTTGGTTCGACCATATTAATTTAAAACTTTCATTTATTTAATTGTTAAATTAAATTTTAATGTTCTTAATGCTTTTGTATCTATGTTCTTACATTATTGCCAGCTGCCCAAAGTTACTCAAAACAGTTGCAACAAGCGGCATATTAATTAATTAATTAGTTAAATAAATAAATAAAATCTGCTGAGTAAATTCGACCCAGAGTCTCTTAAATCTCAGCATTAACCTCATTTTTTAAATGCATGTGTCTGAAATGCAAGTCTGCAAAATCCTGTTAATCACATTAAGAGGACAAGTTGGATCAACTAATTACCATAGCTGAAAAAAAAAATACAAAGTGAAAGTCAAAAACAAATCTAGAACCTACGTGGATTTTTGCAGAAATGGCAATCCAGAGCTTGGTACAAAAATGAAATCAGTATGTCACAATGTTATTTGTCTATTTTACGAAGACAGGGACAAGGAACAATCCATCTCCCTTGCTCTTTTCTTTCTTAAAGAGTAAGTAAATGTGGAATGTATCACATGGTCTATGCAAAGGAAAAATCCATCACCTTGTGATGTAGTATCAGCTGCATTTGTTCTTAGCCAAGAAAACTATAAAGCATCTTCTACGGTTTTCTAAGATCAATCAGTGTTAAGGTCAGTGAGCAGGAACAACTTCTAACTTCCTCAAAAAAAAAAAAACCTCTGGAGACAGTTACCTTCAGTGATTGATGTAAAGGAAGCACAGGTGATAAATTCTGCAAAACAGAGCTCGCTCCTTCTTTCCAATAGACACTTCCATGTTGCTGTTAAGTTAGGAAAAATAGAGAAAGAGGGGTTGATGCTATAATTCCCATTAAATGGTAATAAATGTGCATACCACCAGCACTGAATAAATGTGAGCAAAGGTGAGATTAAAACAATTATTTACTGCTGAAAGAAAAAGGCTTTTTTTAACATTTTCTTTTTGGTTTCCTTCTATAATTATATACCAGGATCAAAATATCTTTTAGAAAACTATAAAACATTCCGGGGTAGACAGACAGATAATAGGTAATAATACAGTAGATGACAGAAAAATGATAGAAAGGTAGACATACTGTGATTCACCGGGAATAGTGTGTGTGTGTGTGTGTGTGTGTGTGTGTGTGTTTAGTCACATGCACACACACACAATATGTTACATCCACATACATACCAAATATCTCAACTAAAACAAAAATAAAAAATAAATTTAAAAACAAATCAACAACTTTCTATTACTTAGAAAACAGAAATGTTTTTCTAAGTAATCCCAGATTCTAGAACCGTGATGGCGAACCTAAGGTATGTGTGCCAGAAGTGGCATGCAGAGCCATCTCTCCAGACATGCTAGCCACAGGGGTAGGATTCAAATTTTTAACAACTGGTTCTGTGGGCATGGCTTAGGTGGTGGGCGTGGCTTGGTGGTCATGTGACTGGGTGGACGTGGCTTGGTGGTAATATTATTGGCTAGGTGTGGCCAACCCAATATCACTCACATCGAGATATGCATCTCCTCGCCTGCCCTCTCATGCCTGTGGGGATGCTGCAACAGTCGTAAGTGTGAAAAATGGTCATAAGTCACTTTTTCCAGTGCCATTGTAATTTTGAATGGTCACTCCACACAAGCAAAGTACCAGCAAAGAAGGGGGAAAAAAACTCCAGAGAAGTTCCAGAGACAGTAAGTCCAGTCCTGCCAAGAATGTAATAAGGGTTAACGGAGAGGCAGTTTCTGTAAACAACACCAGAATGTTTCCTTCCTGCCTTTTTTACAGGATTAGGCCAGTAATTTCTTCTAGCAACCGGTTCTCCGAACTGCTTAGAATGTTAACAACCGGTTCTAGCAAATAGGTGCAAACTGGTAGAATCCCATCCCTGGCTAGCTGTCACCCGTTGCTCTTCTGGCTTCCGGCATGCATATGCACGCCGGCCAGCTGCTCTTCATGCGCACAGAAGCACTGGAAACCAGAAGAGCAGCTCCCTGGCATGCGAAGCTGAGCTTCTGGTTTCCAGTGTGCACACATGGACAGCCAGCTGGTCTTTGTGCACGCATGCACACCAAACACCGAAAGACCAGGTGGCTGGCACACATATGCATGCTGGATACTGGAAGCTCAGCTTCCCAGCATGTACATACACACAAGGCAGCTGCTCTTCCGGTTTTTGGCACTCCTGCCCACCCGTGCTTCAGAGCTGCTATTCCAGTTTCTGGAGCTCCCCCATGTGCACACGCGCTCCCGTTTTGGCACTTGATGCCAAAAATATTTCCCAACACTGTTCTAGAATGTATTTTACTGTTCAGAGGTGGGAATTAAATGAATTACAAATTAACTTTCCACTTCAAAAATAGAAACGCATCTCATCCTGGTAGCAGACAAGGAGCTGAAGACAGCAGTAGTGATCGATTCAGTGCCACCAAGTTAGGAGGATGAAAAGCTGGAGAAGTAGCAGGGCTTGAAGGAGGAAGTGGAGAGAATGGAAATGGGAAGTCAAGGCTCCCACAGATCCCAAGAACAAAGCACTCTGTCCAGAAGAGGGCAGGATTAGGAACAGTGGAGATCTTGCGCAGAACCCTCAAACCCCCAGGATTCTGGTAGAGGAAGCAATGGAAGAAGACATACAACACCCATAGGAAGGAAGTCAATAGGAGGGAGGGAGGGAGGAACGAAGTCAATAGGAGGGAGGGAGGGAAGGAAGGAAGTCAATAGGAGGGAGGGAGGAAGGGAGGGAGGAAGGAAGTCAATAGGAGGGAGGAAGGAAGGAAGTCAATAGGAGGGAGGGAGGAAGGAAGTCAATAGGAGGGAGGAAGGAAGGAAGGAAGTCAATAGGAGCTAGGGAAGGAGGAAGTCAATAGGAGGGAGGGAGGAAGGAAGACAATAGGAGGGAGGGAGGAAGAAAGT